AGGCCCTGTCCAGAATTGAGTATTTAGGTAACTAGATGATCTTTTTGATTCTTTGTTCTGGAATTTCTGCTTGATTTTGTGTTCAGCATTCATCGCAAGCAAGTCAGTATTTTTTGTTCTGTGTTAAGGAAGAGAAAGCAAGATGAGTTTGAGTGGAGAAATGCAAAATCTACCAGTAGGTAATGAGAAACACCACAGTTGCAAGAAACCTGACTATAGAGAAGAACTAGTTACGATTAACAGACTTGAGAGTCATATGTAGCAAGTATAACATCCCAATGAATGGTACTAAAGTAGAATTAATAGTTCGTTTGGAGGATCTCAGTTAGTATCAGAAAAGAACTTTACTCTACAAAAACCAGATAAGGGTAGAACAGTAGAACAGAATTCGAGTGAGAATTTTGATGACAAAAAACCTCTTTTATCAGATGAGGTAATAGAACAAAGTTATGGCTTTTTGTCTTATATAAAAAATAGATTGGAGCAAAAGCTTGAAGAAAAGTTGGAAAATTCATTGTTGAAGGTCCTGAATAGTAGCTTGCAACAGTGGTCTGCACAGTTAAATAAAGCTAGTTGGGTCAGCGCTGCAGATTCTAACTTCCCGAAGAAGAACTTTAAGAAGCCACAAAACCAATACAAGTATGATGCAGTTTGTGAAGTTAGAACTATGCTATTTAGGAGGATTTGAAGGAGAAGATAATGGAGATACAGGAGTTGTTAAAACTAAGGGTATTTGTTCTAAAAGTCGTGGAGAAATAAGGTTGGAAAGTAGCAGCAAAGATACTAAAACTAGCCCTTAGTGATTTAAGGAATTATTAACTAAAGTAAGAAAACAGGCTAAACTTTCTAAAGGTTTTTCTACATATTATAGTAAAGAACCTGGAGAAGTAGAGATAGTTTTTAGACCTCTGAGCCAAGATGTAATTATTATACATCTTACCTGTCACCATATTTACAACCACAACCTTATGTCCAATACCCATCACCTATATTTTAAGGGTACCAGAGCCAAAATTTGATCCCAAATCTGGTCCAGCTTACCAAAATTCATATAACAGGCCAGAAACAAAGCAGTTTAACTGCTATTTTTGTGGTGGTGCCAGTTATACAGCAGCAGTATATCCATTAAAATCTACAGAGAGTAACTCTCTAAAAAATGAACTTTTTCGGAATAAAAGCAGCAATTGAAGGTGACTACACTCAGGCAGCAAGAAACAAAATAATGATGATAGTAGATGATACAGATTAGAACAAAAAGGTTGTTGAGAAAATATATAAACCAGCAGCTGTGAAGTATTGGATGAAAAAGATAGGACCACCACCAGTAGTAGCTTGCTGGTTAAGAAATATAGTAACCCTATTCTCAAGGAATATATAGAGCCTGCTAGAAAAAGCAAACCCAAAACTATACAAATTATTGGCAGAACAAAAGGTGTGGTTAGAGATGAAGTTAAATTGGTTGAAAGGACTGGATGCTATAAAGAAGGTAGGATTAGAATTGTTTCATCCAGCTTACCTGTTGGAGATTTTTTTAATTTTCATGGTGCCCAAGCTAGCCCAAAATGCTACTGTCTAATAATAGACTTAAGGAGATTAAACGAATAACTTCTGGTAAAATCATTTTGATTTGAAGGTCTAGAAGGTCTATTGAGGTCAATTAAGAAAGGTTGGTTTATGATTACACTGGATCTAAGAGACAGATATCGCTATGTTCTAATGCAGGAGAAAGCTCATCATTTTCTGAGGTTTCAGGTAGGAAATCTATGATATCAGTACCAAGTATTGCTGTTTGGCCTTTCCCAAGCAGTTTAGATTTTTTCAAAGATAATTTGGGTGTTGGTCACCATTGGAGATCAAAAGGCATTGCTTTAGGCTTCCATGTTAATGATATATAGATAGTCCATTCTTCTGCATTAATATTAGAAAAAATCTAGAACAATTTATTTTGCCAGACATGAGAAATTGTGGATGTGTCCTGGTTTAAGACAAGAGCAGTCTAATCCTATCAAGAGAAATAAAGTTTTATAGAAATTGGATAATAGCCAGACAGTTGGCAAGGGTTATGGGCAAAGTTCAAAGTTTAGCAAGCGCCTTTGCCCTAATTCAAGTAAAGTGCTTGAAGTTCTACTTCCTTATCAATATAGCGAACCATCAGAGTTTAAAATGGGACAAAAAAATTTGTCTGTCAGAACAGGCAAAAATGGATGTGCATTAGTTGTTGAAAAACATAGAGATATACAATGGCTGGCCAGCCTGGAGGCTGTTATTGATAAAGAGCCTATATATAAATGCTTCAACAACTAGTTGGTGCACAAAATTGGATGGAAAAATGCATTCAGAAATTGGCCAAAAACTTTAAGTTTTCAGGAAATTGCAAAACTGAAAGCAGAAGCTCTTTTGCTTGGCCTTCAGAGTTTCGCAAATTTGTTGAAGGGTTCCTGGGTTTTAGTGTTTATAGACAGTCATACAGCACTAGCAAAAATAAGAATGAGCAAAAAATGTAGATGGCAAAAGGAAGCCTACAGAAACCTGTGGCAAGTTTGTCTGGAAAAAGATATTTGGATCTATGAGATGAGATAGGTACCTTTGGTGTAAACCTAGCAAATTTTTGGACCCAGGTCTTCAACTCATCAGATTGGCAGGTCAGAGAGGTAGTTTTTTGACAGATAGAAACCACATTTAGATCACATTCAATAAATCTATAGCATCGCATCTAAATACAAAGGTGCCAAGGTTTAACAGTTATTCTTTTTGCTCAGGTTCAGAAGCAATATATTGTTTTACCCAGATGTGGGAGAACAAAATAAATTATATGTGCCCCCTCTACATTTGATACAGAAAGTCCTCCACCATGTAAGAAGTTACAGAGCAAGTACTATGATTGTAATCCCAGAATAGTTGTTAGTTAAATGGTGGCCTCTTCTTCTAGAACTAAATTGAAAGGTGTTGATTTTACCAGATTCAAGATTCATCTTTGTACCCAACCTATCTGGTCTTGTAGAACCTTGAAGAAACCCACAGTAGAAATTTCTGGCTGTCCATATTCGTCCATAAAAGAATTGTCAAAAAGAGCAAAAAAATTAGAAAAAATGTGATGTCTCCCTTTTACAAATTAAAATCAGAGAAGTATTGTGGTCTATATAAAAATTTTATAAAAAGTTTGGCCTGAATATAGAAAATCTACTTGAGGAAGGTATTTTAGCATTCATTATGTAGTTAGATGTAATAGGCTTGAGGTCGCAGATTCTCAGAGTTTTACAGGTTGTGGTAAATAATTTGTGTTTTGAAAGAAAAGAGGATTTTAGGAAATTGTTGGCCACAGATGCTAAGGGCAATAAGAAATAAAGCCTCAAAGAATAAAACACCGAATTGGCTACATAACCCATTACTAGTAATAGCATTGAAATACTATGTGGATGTGCCACCCCACAGTATTAATATATTAATATACAAGAGAAATATAACCTTAGTTGCTTTTGGATTAAGGATGATGAGAAGACCAGGAGAGTTAGGAAACCTAACCTTGAATGATATAAAATAGTATAATGATGAGACTTTGTAGGTCCAGATTTGTTAGTCAAAGACTGACCAGTTTAAGAATAGTAGGTTTATTCCTAGTAAAAATACAGAATCAAAGTATTGTTCAGTGAAGCTACTGAAGCAATACCTATAAACCAGATCAAGAACAACTACAGAGACATCACTATTCTAATCAAAGCAAGGAAAGAATGTTTCTGTCTCAGCAGTGGGTTCAATAGTAAAAAGGTTCGCTAAGCATGCTGGTTTGAGTGGCAGATTTATGACACATTCATTGTGAATTAGAGGAGCTATGGCTGCAATTATAGCAGGTATAAACTGCTATTAAGAGCTAAAACAGCTATATTTTTTTGATTGTTAAGTAAATAAAGAAAACAATTTATAGTAAGCATTAAGGATAGACTATTATTAAAAAAAAAATTTTTTTTGCATACTAATCCTGAATAATCCTCGCTAACAATCCCATATTGTATTAATTAGACGAATATTTTGTTGGCTGTAAAAGTTGTTCATTCAGTAGAAGGAACAGATTCTATGATGAACAATAATAATAACCTGCTTGTAAATGAAGTCACAAGGCGAACATTATTGTGAGTCACTGGATTCTATGTGATGGTAGATCACAGGCTCTGTTCAGAATTGAGTATTTAGATAACTAGATGATTTTTTTTTGATTCTTTCTTCTAAAATTTTTTGCTCGACTTTGTGTTCAGTGATCTCCCACCTCACCCAAAAAAAAAATGAAAAGAAAAGAAAAAGAAAAAAGAAAGGAAGAAAGAGGGAGAAAAAGAAAGAAGAAAGTGAGAAGGAAATGATACTTGCTAAGTCTGGTCACATGACTTGCTTCACGATTCCATCCCATATTGTATTAATTAGACAAATATTTTGTTAGCTATGGAAGTCATTCATTTGGTAGAAGGGACAGGTTCCATGACGAACAATAATAATTAATTTTCATGTTTATGTTACAGTACATTGTACTTGATCTTGAAATTTGATTTGTAGTTCAGGTAATCTGTCAAGAATTGCTTAAATTTCAATTTGCGCACAATAACAAATTACAAAATCTGAGATTTCTTTAAACAATTATTGAAGTTTTTTAATGTATTTATTCAACTTATTAGAATTTATTTAATTATTATAGTTTGGTGCATAAAGATTTGCACCTCAAAAAAATATAAAAAAAAATTTTTTTATTAAACAATTATTTATTTTTTTTATTTAATTCGTATCATTTTTTCAAAACCCGACAATAACTTTTGAATTAATTTTTTTTTTGAATGCATCTAAAAGTATATTCCGAATAGACAAAAGGTTTGTATGCGGGACTGAATTTGCAACTTCATCCTTTACAATTGCCCAAATACTCTCAATGGGCTGAAGTTCGCAATGATAGGGTGAAGTGTAAGAAATTTGATGATTGTATCGTTTTGCAATTTCAATATAAGCAAATGGTACTTTTTTTTTGTTTTCTTGAACTAAATTAAGAAGTTCTGGTTTACGTAATTCAGTGGAACAAAAAATATTATGAGCAGTTAGCTAATCAAAAATTTCCTGTTTTTTTGAACTTGATGTTGAAATGCTTTCAATTTGTTGTTTATGATAAGTTGGCCCATCCATGTGAATGATTACTGGCCCATACTTATCATAAAGTGTTTTACATAACTTTAAAAATAAGTCATCAAAAATTTTTGAATTAAAGTTTCCATGGTAATCTACTTGATTAGGAACGATATTGGCACTTTTAATAATTTCAGGAATTTTATTCCAGTCTTTAGCATTATTTCTTTTTCGGTCCTGATTTCCTGGAGGTTTTATTGTTGAGTCCCAAATATGAACAGAATTTGGGACGAGTTCACCATATAATTTGTTAGAAGTTCCATTTCGAAATACAATAACTGATCTAAAAATTACTAATAATGGACTATGCCCGGATGTTAAAACAACACCATGATGGGGAACCCAAGTATTGTGTGAAATGTGATGTAAATGACAGTATGACTCGTTAAGAAAACCTCAGGCAGACTTAGAACATCATTTTTATCTTGCAAATTCGCAAAACGATAGCGAAGATAACGAAAACGAAATGCAACATTGTTTGGTGATTCATGAAGAAAATTTCTTCATTCTCCCTGGCTATAATAAAAACTCAAATAATGTAATAGGCGAAGAAGTTTCCATTTTGAAAATGAATAGCTTTTTCAAGAAGAAAATGACATAAAATAGTTGTAGAAAGTTGTTCACCCATTTTGTTAGAATTTAAAATTTTTGTACGCAGCAGTTCTATAATATTTTTGTTAGGTTGAAATTTAGATCGCCCAAGAGTTTTTGGAGGTGTAAATGTTCCATCATTGTGCTTGTTCTAGTCTGCAACAACGCTTCCAACTGACCCTTCAGAAATGTTCAATAATTCAGCAACTCGCTTGCGTAATGTGAGCTTTCTTTCGATGATGCTTTTTTACAGAATTAGCTTCAGAAAAATTCTTGTAAATATTGATTACCATCAATTTTTCGTTCTCTGTTAGTGGAACTCCATTCTGTTTTAGGTATAGAGAATATATGGTAAAGGAAAATGATTAACACTGCAGATTC